TTGTTATCATGGGAAGAAAGAAACCTGAACTCTATGATGTTGCTCTGACAAATTTCTTCTTTTTTCCTTATGATGAGAAAAAGTATGGTCCGAAAATGAAACATATATCTTTCTTTGACTTTTTCAAGGTAAATATACCATTTTCTAGTCTGATTGCAGCCATTTTTTTGTGTTGCGGGCTCCCTATCCTGGCCAGCGTGTCTTGGACCTTTGCAATGCTTGAGCGGTGCTCTGCCCACTTAGTCATGAAGTCAATCCGTGCTTTTAAGCATTGTTGTTCAATAGGCAATGTGAAGTGACGCTATTTTGTACAGCAAGGCATAATGGGAGTTATTTGGGAGTTACCCCATTTTCCATACATGAAACATGACGGCATTGAATGCTGCTTGGCCTTAATTAAATATTAATTTTGTAATATTGATGTGCAGTGGAAATACCAGATCAATATAGATGGTACTGTAGCAGCTTATCGATTCCCTTACCTCATCGCTGGTGATGCTGTAGTCTTCAAACAAGACAGCAATTACTATGAGCACTTCTACAAAGAACTCAAACCTTGGGTGCATTATATTCCATTCAAGAGAGATCTCAGCGACATAGAAGACAAACTAAACTGGGCAATACATAACGATCAAAAGGTTTGTCAGATTAACTGGCTGACCTAGAGTGAAGTCAATAAACTCTTGAAATTACACTAATACACCTTAGTACGCTCTAATTGTATTGTTTTCTTTTGTGTCTATTTGACTATCACACTTTAATAGTCAAATGTTGTTTCAATGATGGAAGCTAGTGGTAAACTAGAATGAGTTGTGGAATACATTGTAAAAAAGTAGGTGAAATCATGTTGTTTCACGTTGTTTAATAACTTAACTCTAAGGCATTTTAACGGTCATGATAAGTCACAAGGAGTACATACGCTTTGCAACAAAACATGGCGTCTTATTGAATGGATTTTGTTATCTCACAGGCCCAGAAGATCGCGCAGCAAGCGCAGCAATTCGCGCGCGAAAATCTTCAAGCTCGTGACGTCTTCTGTTATCATTGGGTGCTATTTAAGGTAAACATGCTTCTACTGAATTAACCTTAAAAGAGTATAAAAGAATCAGTTCAATAAAATGTTAGTTACCTACAAGCAGTTTCATAACCCGAAAGCTTTCATCCTGTAACACAAGAAGATGCAAACGTTAACGCAGACACAAGCGTAACACAATCGAGAACACATGATATATAAACAAACGATGAAATGAGGCTTGAGCGTCATCGCTGAATAAAATACTTTGCAAAAGATGACTGACTGATTGATTGATAAATTGATTGATTGATTGATGAATTGATTGACTGATTGATGGATGGATGGATGTATTGATGTATTGATTGATGAATTGATCGATTGATTGATAGATGGATTGATTGATAGATGGATTGATTGATTGATTGATGAATTGATTGATTGATTGCTGGATGGATGGATTGATTGATTGATTGACTTAAGGATTGATTAACGACATTAACTGGTTATAAATGATAGAAGTGTTGGAGCATTAATTTCTTATTTTATTGACTGATTTATTGATTGACTTATCGTTCCTTTTTTTCAGGAGTACGCCAGACGACAATCAACRAAACCAAAAATCCATAAAGGAATGGAGCATATAAAACAACCAGATGACCACGAAAGCCAGTGTGACTGCCTACGAAGACCAAACGTATGTAAATCAATTTATAGTAACCAAAAAGCGGCGCTGTGGGTTTATTGACCTCAAGTATACAGCTGAATTTACGAAAATGTTGAATACTGATATTCTAAGACCGCAATGCATTGATGATATTAAACTCAGTGTTACCTGCGTTACATAATGACAAATCTAA